TTATATTCATTTATTTACAATAGTAGTTTTATGTTCACTTTTATATAATTATGTAGTCTTGTTAAGTGCATTATCATTGTAAAACAAACGTCTTTATAGGTACTTAATTACATGCAAATGGACGCATGCAATTATACATATATTTTCCAGTGTCATATGCATGTTTGAACTATGCCGGTAAGCTGACATAACGCCGAGGCCGCAACGTATTCCCGTCACGACGGAGTCCACAATTTATGAACTAAGCATATTATATCCACCTAATACGGATGCAAAATCTGATAGATGGAACAAGTATCGAGTTCTATAAGAAATTATAATATTAGTAAATCGCTTCGCACGCCGCGTTGTATTTTGCATGCAATGCTTGTTCGTCGGTGCTTATTATAACGGGCGACCTGTCGCGCCGACTACCGCCTCTGATACATGTGCGAATATATTTTGCTAACAATTAAATGCCAAAGTATCTTGCAAGACTTTATAAACGTCCGTTGCTCACCGGAAAAGGATGCAATGATTCGTTGCCATTTAAATTCATCATACATTATTATTGCAGGACAAAGTCAAAGCCTTTAAGATTATAAACTACCCGATCAGTTTTAACAAAGGTGGGAAGTAGTCAAACCGCAAAAAAAGGAAATATCAATTTATATTTTTTTGATTTATTTATGTGTGTAAAAGATTTTTCGATTGTTTTTCGAAAAACTATACTTTCGCAGCGTTCCCCTATTTAGATGAGACTGGATTATAATCGACTCAGTTTTAAGCTTTTATAACTATAACTAACTTAGTAGTATTTAAATATTTTAGTATCTGAATTCTTGTCTCCTCAGCTGTGAATAGGTGACTCTTTAAACTATATATATATACTTTATTCGAGTAAGAGAAAACAAACAAGCTTACAATCCACCTGATGGTAAGTGCCGTAGCCCATAGACACCTACATAATAAAATCCTCGATTAATAATCGAAAATTCAGATACTTGGTAATACCTGAAGGCTAAGACTACGAAGTAAATATAAAAGAACTTTATAAGACTAACACAAATGATTATATCTGTCGCAGTAAGATGGTTAAAGCCGTGATATAATATTATATCCCTAGGGATATAGCCATTTTTTATGTGGTAGAGCCATGATGCAGCTATATTAATAGTATAGTTGTAGCACGAATGGGTCGGCTCGAATGGGGAAGGACCACGCTCTCACAGAATACCAGCGTAAAATAGCAGCTTAACGCTGCTGTTTCGTATGGTGAGTGTAGAACAAGAGAACCGGAGACCCATTTTACTGGAATAGAGGCATTCTATCTTGGTCCTCACGGCTGACAACGCATCTGCATTTTAATTCGCAAACGAAGATAGATGTAGATGTCTATGGGCCACAGTAACGACTTACCATCAGGTGGACTGTGTGCTCGTTTGTCATCCTTATTCTATAAAAAAAATATACCGTAATATAGTTATTTATTTAATATCGTCGTGGGGTGTGAAGGTCCTCTAACAAATTTCGCGACATTAACATTGGATCTTCAGTTCCTGTTGTGTTGTTGTTCATGTTACTTTTTTGACAGTGGTTAAGATGCGGCTAGGGTGGCCCTCGAGCCGCCCTAGCCGCATCTTAATACAAGATATTCCATAAATAATATGAACATTTCGTTTACACTAGTAACACGAATGTACTCCTGTACATTCAGTTAACAATTATAATGATTTCCCTAAATAAGTCTAGTAAGATAGTTATATTACTAGATCGTGCTCGTTTCATAGTTATATTCCTAGTTAGACAGTTTCATACATATATTACTATATTACAGTATGCAGTTATATTCATACGGATATAACTATATTACACTTCTATTATTCGACTATCTTACTGCGACATATCGATAATGAAATAAACGTCGAATTTGATCGATAAAATATTAATGTAATGCCTTTGTGCAAAAAACAAAAAACAAAATAGGTATGTATATTAAAACACGTTCTTATGTGAGCAGGCTCAGGCACAATAGTAACTATGAGTGTTTACCTATATTTTTGTGGATTAGAGTATCTCACACGGTAGCTCCAAAACGAATAGATTCATTTTCTGCCGACTACCAAAAAGGAGACGGTACTCAATTCGACTGTATGTTTTTTTTTTATGTGTGTTACCTCATAACTTTGTGCTGGGTGAACCGATTTCGATGATTCTTTTTTATATGAAAGCTGATAGTTCTCTTGTGGTCCCATATGAATTTGATCAAGTTCAGATCAATGGTTATTGAGTTATTCTTAAATAACTTATATTGAAGTCGGCTGTACAAAATTTTAAATGATTGAGATATGAAATATAAATTTATGGATTGCCTCGTGCCCGTGGCTTAAGATAATTTTTCACCCCCTTTCTTCTCGAGGGTTGTAAGATTCGACTTTGTTAAATATCAATTAGATAGTCAGATCAACAAAGAGAGATAGACAGACCACTACGTTTTTTTAATGAGCTTACTGCCCGTTAAGTGAATGCTGCAGCCAATTGATTTTTTTTTAAATTACGTTACCGCTACGATAAGATTTTCTCCTGTATCGTGGCAGCATTTCACATTACCCGGAAAACATATTTGCAGATCGTACAAATACTTGTTCTTTGTAAGATTTGAATCTGCAGCCGTCAGCGCCGCAACTCATTGCTAATCCACTGCGCCACGGAGCCGTCAAAAGTTAAAAGTCACATTAAAAGTAAGTCTGAAACCATGCTCTTACTTATTGTAAGAATTCCACATATAATTTGGATCTATACTCATTTGCAACTTACAACTAACAACATGATTTTAGGTGCACATGTGTGCATCCAGCAGTAAACTTTTACGGGCTGATAAAAAAAGAAAGAAGAATGATGTGTGCGTGAGTGCATGTCAAGTAGTTGAGGATGGTTTCGGCGTCACTTAAAATGTACGTGGTGTTCTGTCTATCTTTCTTTGTTGGTCTAAGGTAGATGTCATGGCCCTATAACCTCTGCTATAACCTATAACCATCTCGTGTAATTTCAAACAGCAAACAACCGTTTCAAAAACGGCTATCATGAAACTAAAAGCATCGCTATACACTTAGGCTGGCCACATACATTCGAAATTTTTCGTTTTGGGGATTCCGTTTCGGAATTCCGAATCGGGTTTCCGAACGTAGCAAATCTATATAAAATCAAGGACCTATCACACACATACAGTAGTTTTCTGTTCGAAATTTTGCGGGCTATAACGGAATTCCGAATGTATGTGGCCGGCCTTATTGGTGGATTCTGAGTTAATCTCAACCCAAGAACATCTGAAAACCGTATCGAAGCCCACACCACAAAAGACCTCGCTCGCCCACATGAGCTATTACCTACCTACTGCTTCGTGCTTTTAGCTTTAATAGTATTTCCTGACATTGAGCTAAAGAGTTAACAAAATGGACTTTAGTATTTGTTTAATAAAGATGATTTTTAAACTTAATCTACTTATCATAAAGCAAAATACAAGTTTTGGTACGCAGAAATGTAGGTGTATTTATGTGGCAATGTATGCATTTCACAACGACGCCCTATATCGAATACACCTACGACCCCACCGCTTTTGGGTTGAACTAATCTTAATATAATTAATTATTAAAATGAGAAAACGAATAGTAGGTTCCTACACTAAAAAACTAAAAATGATAAAAAACGCATTACTTAGTAATTATTTTAAAAAAATACAATTTTAATTGTATTATTTTTAAGTATAATTTAATATTTGGCGCTTACATTTCTGCGAACAATATTTCTAAAACATAAGTTTTTGTCTTGGATATTTTACCTTCAGGCACAGAATAAATAATAGTACAAGACTTCAGGTAGATGTTCCTTCGGAAATTCTTATGGCCAGGGGTCCCAAATTTCTAGAATAATAATATTAGCTACCACTCTCTTCCGTAAATCCGTTAGTTACAAATACTAACGATAATCGTCTACTGATGAGCACAAAACATTATTTGATATTTAAGTCATGGTGTTTTTGTGTTTTGTCTGTTTGTATTACGTTATTACGAAAATAAATAAACAAAATTAGCATTTCGATCAGGTTAAAAATAAACGTTGCCAATTTAAAATATAAAGTTATCAATTTTACTACCTCTTTTGTAAATCGTTTTTTTTTCTATAGTTTATTTCAACCAGAGCAGAGCCGTGGGAGCTCAGGGTCTAGGCGCTCGATACAATATTCACAAAACGCGAGCAACCCGGGTCCGATCCCCGCCGGCACCTTTCCACGTGCTTTAAGGTGAAGGAGAACATCGAGATGAAACCTATGTGCCTGATAAATAAGAAAAAAATATTTCGAAGGCAGGTGTAGTCAGCCAATACACATTTGGGCGGCGCGCGGTGGACATTCTTGCCATAAAACCATCTCAGATATAAGAAAAGACCTGAGACGTATAAAGGCTGTAACTTTACAACCAGGGCTCTTGTATATAATTAGAAGCTGTCAACTACGCAAAACATAATTAGGTAGGGTCGTAAGCGTAAACGCAGAGGTCCTCGCGAGACTTGGCCCTGACTTACCTTGGTAGATTTAGATGCAGTAATAGGACAAGTACAAAACAACTGATAAGTCTAATAACACTTGAATTCGAGTCGAATACACGTTATTCCATAATCTCTGTAGTAGGTACTCAGACCACTGAGCCACGCGGTTGTCGACTATTACACTTACTAGCTGCTTACTTATTTTTTGTGTAATATAACACTTGGTCCCTAATTTATAATATTTTAACTTGAATATCTCTTATATAAGAATATACCTATTTATTATAAACAACCTTTTGTAAATAGTTCAATTTTTTTTGTTATTCAGTGAAAACCACTAAAGCTGCGTTTTCACATACAGCGGTATTTTTGAACATATTTTGCGGATACAATAAATTAATAACCTATATATTTATTATAATAATATTACTAACTCATTCAACTACGAAAGATAACAAAGATAACGTGTTTCTCACCTGAGCTTGGCTGTTCTTGTATATCAACATCCGACAACACTCCTTTCTTTTCGAAGAAAGTTTTCACTTTAGCACAGGATATTTCAGTGTCCGCTGCAGAAACGATTGCAAAAAAACTTGCAACTATTACCAAATATAATATTTGATACTTCATACTCATATCGAAAATCGATTTTTTGTTAAGCGACAGTTTCACACAACAACACAGTTTCACAGCCATGTTCACGGAGAATTATTTTTCAAATGTCCGAAATAATTTGACTATGTCGGCGTTTCATAAATAAAAGTGCAATTAAATAATGTTTAACTTAAACTTAAAGTATTATACACGCCTTATAAATATAAACAACACACTACAACTCATCTACGATCCATGACGGTCACAGCCCGACTGGCCTGACTGGCTGCTGTGCTGTTAACTGAAGTGTGCCGAAAGCCGGAAATTTTAATTTTTAAAGATGTCATGAATAATAATTGATTACATATATTATATTAATTGTGATTGTAAGACCAGTCAGTAAAAATAATCAAAAATGTATATTTCGATGTTGTTGTTTTTCCTCTAACCATCTCCAGTGTTGCCATATACCTATACGGATTAATCTGTATTTGTACAGAAATTAGGAGAATCCGATAATTGGTAATGAATAAAGTGATAGTTATATCACTTTTTAAACCATATAGTGTTCCCATGAAGTGAAAAAACATTCCCATAGTTTAAGACTGACTACATGAGGAGATTGAAGAAATAACTCGTCAATAATTAACTTTTTTTTCTTTAAAAAAAAGAAAAAGAACTTTCATAATCGTGAAATGAAGACAAAAACTACTTACAGTTTCTTTTGTTTTTTTTTTTTACATGAAAATGAAGGAGACTGTAACTAGTTCAATCTTAAATGACATTTTACGTGTTTAGAACTCTAAAACTTTAAGTTTTATTTCAATATTAAAGTTGGTAAAAAATTACTTTGCGTACATCCGCTCGATAAAATAAAATGATGTGTCTAAGTCTGACTTAGCAGTTAGCCACCGCAGTGGCTAGATCACTTGAAGATGCCTCGTGTAGAAGCGAAACACGTATCGTATTGTCGTCAGTGGTGTGTCTTTCCTAGTGTAGTGGTGTTGGGAGTAGTGGTGCTGGGATTAGTGGTGACGGTGATAGTGCACGCAATTGAGGGAGGGCGGGAGGTGCTTCTCAAACTAGGTAAGACACGTCATTTTATTTTATCGAGCGGATGTACGCGAAGTAATTTTTTATCAACTTTAATATAATGGACTTCAGCAAAGTAACGCCTGATTCTATTAATTATTTTATTTCAAGGCCTTGTGCCTGAGATTTATTAACTTTGAAAATATTAGCAATAGCAATATCAATGATTTGTTGCTGGAGACTTCTTTCAAGGCTTAAATTACACGTAGCAATATGGTATTCAAAGTCAAATATTGTTATTCAAAATAGGCTTTTATAAAGCATTCTTTGGAAGTCAAATAGTCACCGTCTCTTCAACAATACCTTGGGGAGACATTGTGAGAAGAAGCGGCAAGAAACTTACAAGTAGATTTTTTATATCTTTAAAAATTATACATTTACATAAGTTGAAAAAGTCCAAGGTAGCTCATTATATCGACGCATTCTTACCTATTAAATAGTCATCTAATTTTAATATCCTTTTTCTATAACAGGGCCTTTTACATGCGCTTATCAGTATCATTATCATTTTGATATGAATCGTTTTACGTCTATCCAAAAATCAACCGCTAGTTTTATGGATTTATGTTAAATGATGTTATATTAAAATGATGAGCATCTCTAATTTTTTCAAAGGTATAAAATATTTCCTTACATAAATAATATTGTCCAAAATGAATTGTGTTGCAACAGTTAAGATTATCATTTCTTTAAAAAAGTCTCCGAGTGAGTACCTTTACCACCTGTACCACAACAATAATCCATAGGACCTAACACTGAAAATAGCTGAAATAAACCAATATTGCTGTATCCACATCTGTTAGGGGTCGTTCAAGTACTAGGAACTAAGTCTTTTTGACAAGGCCATAATATGATTGTAGGTACATATTACCAAGAAGGACTGCGGAATCTACTTACTCAATTACGATTAGTAGTAACCCGTCATATATTTGGCAAAAAAAAATTATATGTATTTCGTTTTATTACCAACTAATTGTTAGTTGTAAACCAGAGTAATACTTGAGATACAGCATCAGTTACATCGTCAAATGAGTTTGTATTTTGTCAATATGTTGATGATTAAAAATAAAAAATATATGTTAAGTAATTATTTACGCAAATCTCATCGTTTAAAAATTATCATCTTATTTGTTTTGTTTTTATATCGAATTAATACGGATTTTCATTCATACATGTAATGCGGATTTTGTACTGAGCGTTTGAATGAATATACATAGATTTTACAATAAATTTTCTTCTTTATATATGGCAATACCGATTCTCCCTTCTCCATTCATGAGTCTCAGTTCAGTTAAAACTTGTCATTATCACTGTGTCTGGAATTTTGTCAGCCCCTTTAGGACCGCCACATAAATACAGAGCTCCGTTTCGGGATTCCGTTTCGGAATTCCGAACGGGTCGGTCACACACATACAGAATCCCGTTTTGGCCGCAAAATTTCGAACGGAAAACTACCGTACGTGTGTGACGGGTCATAGATTTTAAATGAACTTGCTGCGTTCGGAATCTCGAATCGGAATTCCGAAACGGATTCTCGGAAAATTCCGAACGAGTCGGCCACATACATTCGGGATCCGGTTTTGCTCGCACAATTTCGAACGAAAAACTACTGTACCTGTGTGACAAGTCCTTGGTTTTATATGGACTTATTGCGTTCGGAATCCCGAATCGGAATTTCAAAAAGGAATCCAGAAACGGAATTCCGAACGGGTCGGCCACACACATTTTGAATCCCTTTGAATTTTCTCCGCTTCGAGATTCCGTATAACCGCCTGTGCGTTCGGAGTCGCGAACGGAAAAAAAGCCGCTCCAAACGCAAGTTTTCCATAGATTTTGTATGAGTCGCAACACATTCGTAAATTCCGTACGGAATGCACTGTGTTCGTTGCACGACGTGTGTTTATGTATGTTTTTATATTTAATCTTATATGTGTATAGCTTTTCGTAACCTTCCATCTTATTTTGTTTAATAACTCGTCGAAAGAGTTTAGACATCCATATTTAAAAAAATATCTCTGGATAGAAGATAGATCTTTTTACATAATATTGACTATATTGCAAGCTTAGGGTGAAAAGGGGGTGCACCCAGTATGATATAGCAATCGTCGTCATTATTCGCTGGAAGAATGTCTACACTCAATGGCTAGCGTCTCTCAACTGAGCCTTGTTATTCCGAACGGAAATAAACGTATGTGTGTGATGTATTTACGGAATTCCGTATGTATCAGGCCGGCCTTAAGGTTACTACATATTTATTTATCTATGGGCTTATATATATTCTGTGTTTGTCAGTGTCACTGTCATGTGCGGAGTCCCCCTCTCCCCTTTAGTAGTATAGTAGTCTGGTCTTTGTCAGTGTCATATTAACTTAGTACTCCCATTAATACTCCTATTTACTCTAATTACTCAACTACACAATAACGTAGATATTGTTTAATATAAAGGTATGTACTTTGTTAAATAATATAAACAGATCAAAGATTATACATATTACACGATAAATATCATCTATGATTTTCAATCTCAGAGTACTTACAATATTTTCAAACTGAGGGTTCAAATTTCAATTTCGATATCGAAAGTCGAAACATAAATTAAAAATTATCTTGCACCGCTGGCCATCGTTTGTGTGTAATTAATTGTTGTATAATTTGTAATATTACATTTATTTTATATATCTAGTTTCTGATATTAATTCATAATTTCGTGTTAGGTAATACACAAAAATCGGCTAGAAATCAGCACATACTTTACATAATATTTCGGCAAGTTTTCAAAATGAGAATTTATATGTTAAAAACCATATCAAATACGATTGGAAGGCGATTTTTGACAACCAAAGATGTAAGGAAAGTTACCCATTGCATTTTTGATATGGACGGTCTGTTATTGGGTAAGTACTTGCAAGGTAATATGTGCGTGACCTTTTTGATTGTAGTCAATGATAATGTATTGAATGTTAAATTTACACTTTAAATACTAGTAAACAATATTCTATCCTGTTGATGTGATTGTTTACCCATGCTGTACAATTTTTTGAATCTGTTTTACTTCTATATCTATTATTTTATAGATACCGAGCAAGTGTATAAAAAAATGATTACCCAGCTGTGTGCCAACTATGGTCACAAGTACACAGATGAATTAATGATGAAGGTGCTAGGGGGAACTGAACAGAGATTGTCAGAAATTCTGTGCAAGGAACTTAATCTACCAGTTACACCCACTGAATTCAGGGACCAGTTACTGAAATTGGGTGACACCATGCTTGCAGGAACACCATTGCTTGATGGTATGTCATTAAAATATTTTTTACTTTTATAAAACTGTCAATTTATTTTTTTAGTTTTAGTTACTTATTTGAGGTGTTTTGCAAAAATAAGGCCCGATCGCATGGATTTTTCTACTATTATCATGGTAGAGCCAGGCTCCTGCACAAATAAGTACTCATCTGGTAAAGTATCACATATACAGAATACCAGTGTAAAAATGGCTGCAATGTGATGTAGTGTAATATGGTGTGTAACTGCAACTAGAGACACTTTTTACTTGTAATGAGGTATTTCATCTTAGTCCTTAGAAGGGGCAACACATCTACATTTTGATATTTGTGGATAAATCTATACTTTTGTATGTCACAGCATCCACTAAACATCAAGTGGACTACATGTTTGTTTGTCACCTTTGTTAGATTATTGGGATTTGGAACACTAGATTGTCGGACTCCTTTTGTGTAGATACCAACCTCTCACGTATTTCTGCAACCAAATAACAGCTGCTTACGCTACTGTGTTTTGGTGTGACGGGTATAGAGGCAGTAAATTTACAAGCTGTCAAGCGTTCCACCTAAATCCTCAGAGGTGATAATGCATCTAAAGTCTTCATTGCTTAAAATGTCTGTAGATTTCCATAGACTACAGTAGCCACTTACCATCAATCAGGTGGACTAAGTTTGTAACTTGGGTTGGCTGTAGACTTCTGGTAGTTGCTTTTAATTATGTTTTCAGTTTAGGAGGCTTGTCAGGGTTAAGCTTGAACATTTTAAACTGAAAATGCATTTTAAATTAATTATGATAAAAAATTCACTAAAAATAGCATATAACGAAACGCAAATATGTCAATTTGTTTTTTTAACATGGGTACACCCACAAAAAAGTTAATCACTTGGACCCAAACAATCCATTTGTGGCTGGAGATGAGACTTGTGTTGTGTATAACAACAAACTGAGTCGCAGTGGAGTGCAGTCAAGAGGTTTTTCAGAAAATGAAATTATAACAATTCACAAAGTTTTGCAGACATGAAAGTAGAGTATTTATTTTGTGAAGCCAAAAATTGAAAAATATAAAAAGAATCCATTTAAAGAAATTATGCGTGCAATAAAGCATATATATACAATAAATTCAATAATTACTACAAAAAATTACATTGTTTATTTACCACTGTCATAGCAGAGTTTAAGGCAACCTCACTTTCTAGATAAAATACGTCAAATCTGTACAAAAACCGAATCAGCATGCCCCAACTCCACATAGTCTTGTCTGCACTACCCCTAGTGCTTTTGGAAAGCCGTTGCAGAAGTAACTTTGTGTCAATATTACTCTATAAAAAAAGTGCAGTTATGATTTTACAAAAAACTCCACTATACTTTTCCGCAAGGGAAACTATAGATACCCCGTACGCAGGTACCGGATGTCTATAGTTTTACCTTTTTTTTTAAAATATTTCTCTTTTATTACCCATGTGATTTTGATAGATTTTTAATACATTGCGTAATTAAGCTGAAAGTTTTGGGGTTTTAGATAAGTGCATAAAATGATGGAATGGTGACTGAATAAGCATAGATATTGATTCAAAGATGTTGTCTAAGAAGGCTAAGACTAATACCTACTATATATGTGACTGCTTCTAAAAGAAACAGTTCATGATAAAATTAAGGAACAGATGCCTTGTACTCCAGTTGTTCAAGAAGGACAATAAATGCCCTATTGTAGAACTACAGAGCTTCATATCATTGCCAAGAAGGTTTCCTAAGAGTTACCACAGATGTGAATGAATTTAATATATAAAATTTATCTTTATTGCGTACAGGAGCTGAAAGATTAATACGTCATCTACACAAAACTGGTGTGCCTTTCGCCCTAGCCACGTCTTCTAGTGAACGTTCAGTACAAACGAAAATCGCAAGTCACAAGGAGCTGTTCAGCTTATTCCACCATATGGTGATGGGCAGCAGTGATAAAGAAGTGAAATTTGGGAAGCCACATCCAGATATATTTCTTGTAGCTGCCTCTAGGTTTCCTGATAAACCTAACCCTTCAAAGGTAAGGATTTGGTTTTTGTTATTCTGATTTACAAATGAAGTTCTAACAACCAACTGACTACTAAAAATCTATCAAGCATGCCATATTATATGTTAGACAAATACAAGTTTGGGCAATTCATTCAATGCCATGCCACATCTTGCTATAGCTGTGGTAGCTCAGGGGTTAAGATTATGTCGTAAATTTTGCTATATGCTATCAACCTGGTTTGGATACCCACGGTGTTTTGCAAAATGCCCAGTGGTAAATGAATACATTGTGAGGAAACCTGTACGTTTGAGGAATGAAATGTATCAAGTTCATGAAATCAGCCAACATGCACTGGAGCAGCGAGGCAGACTAATTGCTCTATAACCTTCAGAAATGAGATGAGCCCTGTGCCCAGATGTAGGATTTATATTGATTCTTCTTCCACCTCTGAAAACTGTGGTAGTGACATAAAAAAAAAATTAATACATGGTTATTGGGATGTTAACATAATATCCTCTCTGGTTTCTAATGATGTTTGTGCTGTTAGCCTTTTGGATTTTACAGTTTCATCGGACTTACAGCTACATCGATCCTACCCCCCCCCCCACATCCTGTGGGTGTTGTAAGTCTACTACGGGAAAGACAGGGCACCATATTGATTACTTACTGTAGTTCTGATTAAAATTTTATTTATATGTGAGTTCAGAACTTGACGAACAACAGCTAAATGTGTTGTGTGGAAGAATTTGTCCACAGTGAACTGATTACGAATACACAATTTTATCTTTAAATGTTCTCGAATGGCGGCCTCGTACTGGCGGACGAAATGTAGGGCGTCCCCCCACTAGATGGAGGGACGACCTAGTAAGACATGCAGAAAGTCGATGGATGCAGGTGGTTCAGAACCGTGCTTTGTGGCATTCCTTGGGGGAGGCCTATGTTCAGCAGTGAACTTGTGAAGGGCTGTAATGATGATGATCTTAATTATTTTATCAGCTCTGTGTATGGTAGATATGGGCAGAGGTGTGTCAGTGATCTGTGTCCAGTTCAATCCTGTAACATGAGAAAGCTGAGAAAGTCACCAGCCTTGTGGGGGTTTGATTACATTTCTGCTCGGATCACAATGACAAGTTAACATATTTACCATTCTCTATATATACTCATTTTTAAAGTGTCTTCAAGATAAACTGTTTTCCTTTTTAGTGTTTAGCGTTTGAAGACTCGCCACATGGTGTCACTGCTGCCATCAAAGCCGGTATGCAGGTCGTCATGGTACCAGATCCACATCTCAATAAAGAGCTGACTAAACACGCAACCATAGTGTTGCCGACGCTGGCTAAATTCCAACCGGAAATATTTGGGTTACCGCCATTTCAGTGACATTTACTTCACTAATACCAAACCTATTTAACAAGTACTATTTAAGTTATTGCCTCTTGTAAATACGAATTAATAAAACGACGGTAGTGTAAGCACTAATTCATGTTGAAATTGATTTTTATATGGTTTTATCTCTGCTATGCGCCTTTTTATATACAATTGAAGTAAAAAGCGAGCTTACAGTGCACCAGATGGTAAGTGGTTACTGCAGCTCTTCGGAGAATTTAAGCAAGTTTTTAATATTTTACAATTACTAACGACCTCAGGGAGTGACCTCGGTCTACTGAAATACTTCTGTAGCTGGTAACTGCTGGGAAATTCAGTAGAATGGTGGCTGCTATTTCCTCATGCCCCATGCAGCCTCTGCATAGAAGGCTGTCTGTGATACCTAGAGTAAAGATATATTTATTGAAAGAGTCATGCCTGTTATGGCACTGGTGACCAGTCTAATTTAAAGTTTGTTTTGTCTGAGTAACCTTAAAAAAATTGTTATTGATAGTAGATAGGGTTTCCTTAGCTTGCATTCAGTCTAACCCAGAATTGTGTACGTTGATACTTAGTACGATAAGTACTGTCCTTATCTAACCGTAGGGATAGCAACAAGGAGTTCAAAGGGGTTAGCCAAGTCTACTTTCTAATATCGTTAACGCTAATAGAAAACTATAAATTGAATGAAAGTATTATAACTCACGTCACAGTCAAGTGATTTAGCGTTGACATATTATGTCATTCCATTTATTTTTATGGTTTTCTATTAGTGTTTATCATTACAAAAAGTCAACTTGGCTAACCATTCCAGGATTTACATCAATCGCATCATTGCCCCCAGATCCGTTCATCACCATTACGGCTAGATATTTTACTGTTTTAACAAAATGAAGGTTACCAATAAGGTTTTTATCACGTCTCCACTAAGTCCAATGCTGCTAGGTGATATTTTGCAGAACTAGCCTATATGAGATAACAGTACTCCAAGCACGATTGAACTAGCTCTTTATAAAGCAGCCCCGGCGTGAAGTACCGCCGCATCTTTGCTAGAACATCTAGTTTCCTTGTCGCTTCTTTGGTCCTGGTCTCAAATGGATCGTCCAAAGTACAAGTTCTTCGGATTTCACCAGCGGAAAGCAGTGTAGGCCGACAAAAGTCTCCACCGCTGTAGCAAAAGACCAAAAATCTCTACTGCCGGATGGTCTGGCAGAGTTTTGTGCCAATATGTGTAATCTTGGTCGAAACTAGCTTTCCGTAATGCTTTTTTGTAGGGCTTGACGGCCATGTTGAAAGGACGCTTTTTAAAGCTGATCCGGAGCTTTGCGCTCTCAAAACGTCAACCCTCCATAGATACGCCAAATCCATGCGCTGCCTGACGCATCCCTCCGGTTACAGCATCCGCGCAGCTCGACGGATCTGCAGAAGAAAATCAGACCTCCCGCCAAGGATAGGATGCAAAAGTGCCTCATCTCATCCCAATCTGCTGACTTATACCGCTATATTTCTCGAACACTATACCTTCCTTACTGCAGTTGTTAACGCCGCTTTTATTATTCACATCCATGCCTGGTAAACGGTACATTTGATTCTACGCAGCGTTTTTTGTGTATATTTAAGTCTTCCCAAAATATCCGGAACCAGTACTCGACATCGTTTTTGGTCAATCAGTGAAAATTTTGAGACGCTACGTTTCTCAGGAGCGCCTGGGCATCGAAATTATTGTTGTTATTTTTGTGTGTTAGATATTTAATTGTGGGTTTAAACCAACGTGATCAAGCAGCGAATACTCCTTTGAACAGTTTGTGAGACCATGGGACTGCTTCGCTCGATGGAATTGGCAGTTCAATATATCCCAGTATTGTCACTGTCTTAACTCCAGTCTTAATTAACCCTCTCGTTATATCCTCAAACAAAGTTGATGAGACTGGAGTAGTTTTTAGCTTGATGTTTACTTTCTGGTAGTCATCGTACGCTTGCGTCATTGTGACCAAGGCTTACGGCCTTGGTCACAACCTTTAGACGAATCTAGTGCTTTGCGGGCATGATCTCCCAGACTTTCCAAGTTGACTGCTGCTTTGGTCATCGAAATAGATATCGTTGAATTAGAAAATGACATTGCTAATATGATGTAAATTTGAAAAAGTCTTTGATAAATTAACTGTTTTTTTTTTGTGATTGATTCATTTTCCTAATTTTTGTTTGTGTTTTAGTTTTATTTTCTTTAGATCTTAGCATAAAACTGGTATGAAAGGGTTTTAGAAAGTAGAAATTATGGATACATAATTCATAAATATATAAAAATATATATAAATATACCTAAAAAATAAATACTTTTAAATAAGACTGAGTGACAATGGTTCTTTGTCTCAATAAGTGCTAAAATATTGTTTAAGAAACTTTATCAAAGGACCTAAATTTCTTCGGGGTTGACTAATTCTGTTCATCGTTTCCGATGAAATGTTGTACTTATTTTTGTTTATTGTTAACTCGTCGTCGTCCATACATTTTTAGTACATAATTGTTCTGCAGCTACAAACTGTATCTTGGTTGTGATTATACTAGTAAAAATCGTACAAAATCAAGAAATTCATTAATAATTTTGGTATTACATTCAGCCTTAAAATTAATCTTTTATGGTACATGATATATGCATATTTTATTTTGCTATTTGATCATTTTAATAAATCTTGTCCCACAAATTGGGGTATATATTGTGATAGTAATATTAGGGCATCAGATCAGTTTGATTAGGCACAGTGAAACTGTTTTATAAATCATTGTTGTTTGTGTTATATTAAGTAGTTTATAGAGGATTTAAGCATAATAAATTATTTATGTACACATTTGTTTTATTGTACAAGCCTTATACCAACGTCATGAAAATACTACATTTAAAATTTACCTTTTGAATGTACAGAATGGTTGAAAGAGTTGCTTGAATTCTTGTCATCATCATTACATATTTCCTTCCCTTCGTAAGTCTCCTGCTGAACATAGGCCTTCCCCAAGGAATGCTACAAAGCAGGGTCCTGAGCCACCAAATCTATCGACTTCCTACATGTCTTACCAGGTCATCACTCATTCTATTGGGGAGGTCGCCCTACACTTCGCCTAGTAATACGAGGCTGCCACTCCAGAATCTTTCTTCCCCATCGGTTGTCGGTTCTTCGAGCTATATGACTGGCCCATTGCCACTTTAGCTTACTAATCCGTTGGGCTATGTCGGTTACTTTAGCGCGGATATCCTTATTTCTAAGTTTATTATACAGAGAAACCCTAAGCATAGCTCACTGTTACGGCCTACGGCTGCTCCCATAAAGGTCAAATCCTCTGGGGCCCATTGAGCAGAGTTTCAACGAACAGACGTAGGTCGGGCGTCCTAAGGCCAAAGTGGAAAATCTCTAGTTACACTAAACAATAAGGGGGAGCGTTCTATACTACGGCCATTCAACAGGGAGAATATTAGACGGAGCTTACTTACCTATATCCAAGGCGACTGCTCCCTCAGGATTCGGTCAGGTCGCATGTGGTTGTGTGGTGCAAGGGAAATTAGTTGCTGTGATGTGTATCTGGGTGTGACTGATGGTGATTGACCTTAGTAGACCTTTGCCGTCAGCGCCGCTCCAAATTGAGGTAATCTTCCGCGGCGCCGTCCACAGTCACTTTCTTCGTTCGTCACGATGACAGTCCATTAACTCTATCGTACTATTAACTAACTTACAGAAAACACTAACTCTCGTTTGTTATAAAGCTTAACACACAAAACTAACGGAGTGTGCGGATCAAAGGTCACTACCGCTTCGCGTAGCAACAGTTATTTCTAGAATATCAAAGGCCGCTTTAGCTAATATTGTCGAATGCACTTATACAGATTCTGAGTCAGACAATGGGTTCCTGGGAAGCTCTCCAGCAAGGAATGCGCGTCACAAATCCTAGACAGTATATTTACTAACCGCGCCTAATTATTCCGAGTTCCCGAACAAAAATTGACAGCGCGCTGGCGTTAGCACAGCTGGCAGACGACTGCTGCGCTTGCGCGTTCTACGCACGACCGAATGTCAAACCGGTATGGCACCGAGCCGCGCGCCCTCTGACGTCGATTCCGAAAACAGCGTTTGGCGCGAACGCTCACTGAGCGACCGTGAGCGTCCTCATATGGCCATCAGTGAAGTACCACGTCTCAGATCCATAAGTCATCACTGGCAACACGCACTGGTTGTACAATCTTGTTTTCAGGTTTTGAGGTATACCCGACGAGAAGATGTGTCGTAGCTTCCCGAACGCTGCCCAGCAGAGTTGCATCCGTCGATTGTTGATGTCGAAGTTGGACTTACCCAATCGAACTATTTGCCCCAGGTAATTATACTCGTCAACAACTTCGAGCTTAGTGCTCTCAACAACTACCGGCATAGGTGTGATATGCACATTAAACATGATTTTTGTTTTGTCCATGTTCATCTTAAGACCTAGCCGTTGGGAGACACTATTGAGGTCATTGAGCATATTGCTTAGTTCCTCCAGCGATTCTGCCATAAGGACTATATCGTCGGTAAATCGAAGGTGAATGATGTACTCGCCATTGATGTTAATACCGTATCCTTTCCAGTCCAGTAGCTTGAAAACGTCTTCAAATGCAGCGGTGAAGAGTTTCCGGGATATAACGTCACCCTGTCTTACACCTCTCTGCAGTTGGATAGGTTTCGTACTCTGATTCTGTACTCGGATAGCCATCGTAGCCCTACTGTACAAACACTTCAGCACTTCGAAATACCGACAGTGAACTTGGCACCGCTGAAGGGACTGTAGCACCGCGTAAACTTCGACGGAATCAAAGGCTTTCTCATAGTCCACATACGCAAGGCAAAGTGGCAGATTGTACTCTTCTGTCTTTTGTACAATTTGCCGAATGGTGTGTATGTATGTGGTCCATGGTAGTAGCCTTTTCGGAAACCGGCTTATTCGGGAGGCTAGAAGTCCTCATGTCTGCGTGAGAGACGATTCGTAATGATTCTCGAAAACAGCATATAGACGCGGCTCAGAAGGGAAATCGGTCTGTAGTTCTTCAAGAGAGCGTTGTCGCCTTTCTTGAAGAACAAGACCATCGCACTTCTGCTCCACGCCTCCGGAGTAGTGCCATCATGGAGGATGGAATTAAAGAGCTTCTGAAGGACTTCAAGTACCGGTTTTCCACCCGCTTTCAGAAGCTCCGCTGTAATTCCATGCTCACCTGGGGCCTTGCCGTTTTTAAGGTGCTGGAGAGCCATTCTAATCTCGCTCAGACTGACGTCCCGGATATCTTCGGAATTCTTGTAAATTAAATGAAAAAAAAAACTGAACTCTTAAATCTCTAAATACTTTATTATTTACAAATTAAATATAACAATTAACCACAAAATTAATTCATTTAGCGAGTTGCTTGATGGTATTGAGTACATCCTCTGCTGTCATGTTGGTCAGTGGAGTGCTACGCTCTACACCTTTTTCTGAAAATAGTTTCCAAATATAAATAAAAGTGAAATTAAAATGTTCAATCTACTTAAAATAACAATGGGAGCAGCTGTTGACTAACTTCAGTTAGATAAATAGGGTCAGCAAACAAATTTAGCAAAATTTTGACAGTTCCTTAAACAGAATATCTATACATAATTTAAAAAGGTGAAATAAGAAATGAATATTATTTTAAAAGCAAAAAAACGAGTGTAGATATTCACAAGGTATCAGTTACAAAATACAGTTGCCTTTGATTTTAACTGTGTATACTATTTGCAATAATAAATTCTCAAGTTTTGAAATAACTAGTTTATCGCAATCGGAGTGTGCGGGATTGAACGCGGGAAAGTTTGCACACGCAATCGTGACTGATTATTTTTATCCATTTTTATGTGCGTTGACTTTTTGACGCGTTATTACTTCTGTATTTTTATTAAGAGAGGAAATAATAATAATAAGGAAGAGGTAATAATACTAATCGCGCGTAATTCAGTACGGGAAACTTCCGCGACTTGTATGAAAATCACGGTTATGTTAAACGCGCGTTCTGAAGACTAGTGTTCGAAGAAAATGGAAAAAAGAGTTAGAAGGTATATTACACAAGCAGTTATGTTTGCTGTTGTAAGCGTATAATAGATTACACATTTATTTTATATATTATTATATTAAATCAAACATAAGATCCTGAAACTTGTATATTGCCAAGATTTGTTTATTAAGATCCTTGCTCCATAATCTAATGTCCGCCAATTATCGTGGATAATCGTTTTCACAAAATTGCGCATGTAAATTATATTTGAAGCGCTCAGACTTGACTGAGGTATGAGGGTATGCGCGAGCGGGCTGCGAGAGTTCATGCGTTAAAGATCAAAAGTAATAAAGCGCGAAAGAGTCAACGCACATAAAAATTGATAAAAACGATCACTCACGATTGCGCGTGCAAGCTTTCCCACGTTCAACCGCGCACACTCTGATCGTGAGTGAAAAAACTTGTAGTGTAAAGGCGGCTATTCCTCGGCAAATTATTATTGAGAAAAATTAGTTTGACATCACAAAATGACAGTAATTTAGTCCCATTGTTATTTTTATGTTTTATTCAATTTACTAACAAAGTGTATTTATACCAAACTAAAATATAAATATGATAAAAGTTTGAAATTACCAATATAGGAATTTCTCACATGTGCTAGCACAAACAATACATTACATATTTTCTATGTATATTAAAAGAATAAAGGCCTTTTATCAAAAACTTACTTATTTTATTTAAATTTGCCTACATGCCTTCAAATGGGAGTGTGTAGGCGAAATTAAGTATTCTGGGTCACCAAATGATATTATGAATTCTGTTACTAATGTTGAGCGCCACCATTATTGCCTGGTAAATGGCAACACTAGTTACAACTAGCGCCCTCTAGTATCGAGTGGCAGAACTAGGAGTCAAGATACTTGTAGAAATTTCCATGGAAGAACTTTCCCATCGGAGGCAGATCTCAGCCTTGGTTTAGTCTCTCCTGTAAGACTGCTTTACGCAGTAAGCAGGAGTGTTATCAAGCCTGGGCTGCGGCTTCGGCGACTCGGGATGTAAACACCAGCATACTTAAAAAGAAGTATAACTTCGCCTCCAGGTCCTTCAAAAGAGTTATCGCCAAGGCAAAGTCAGAGCACACAGGCAGAACTGGCGAGAAACTAGTTCGCCTTCCTTCGGGAAGCCGTGCATTCTGGTCTCTCGCCAAGGCTGTCCAAGGGAATTTCTGTAAGCCATCACTACCATCTCTGCACAGGGAGGACGATTCACGGGCCCACGACGCAAAAGAGAAAGCCGATCTTTTAGGCTCCCTTTTTGCGTCCAACTCGACTGTTGATGACGGGGGGACCACACCGCCGACCATCCCGCGGTGTGAGTGCTCCATGCCGGATGTGCGGTTCTCACAGCGCTCGGTTCGCAGAACACTCCTCTCCCTTGACATCCACAAGTCGAGTGGGCCTGACGGAATCCCCCCAATTGTGCTGGGGACGTGTGCTCCGGAGTTGGCACCGGTTCTAACGCGTCTTTTCCGGTACTCCTACTCCCAAGGCGTAGTCCCGAAATCATGGAAGACAGCTTTTGTCCACCCGATCCCTAAAAAAGGCGACCGCTAGACCCGTCCAACTACAGGCCTATCGCCATCACCCCCTTGTTCTCCAAAATAATGGAATCCGTTATAAACTGCCACCTCATGCGGTACCTTGAAGATCACCAAATTTTGACCACCAATTGAAATTGTGCAATTGGATCACCAGCTTTCTTGCAGATCGGAGCATCAAGGTCGTTGTAGGCGGTGCATGCTCCGACTACAAGCCTATTAACGCTGGTGTTCCACAAGGCTGCGTGCTATCACCAACGCTGTTTCTTCTGCATATCAATGATATGTTGCAAGCCGGTAGCATTCATTGCTATGCGGATGACAGCACTGGTGATGCTCTATACACCGGCCGTGCCTATATTTCTCGGGAACACGTCACCGAGTACCGGAACAAACTTGTGTCTGAAGTCGAGTCTTTGCTGGACAAAGTCTCGGATTGGGGGGCGACTAAATCTAGTCCAGTTTAATCCTCAGAAGACACAAGTATGCGCGTTTACCGCTAAAAAGAACCCCTTTGTCGTATCTCCTCAGTTTCAAGGTACTCCCCTTGTTGCCTCAGCCAGTATCGGAATCCTCGGCGTCGACATATCGAGTGACGTGCAGTTTCGTGGTCACTTGGAAGAGAAGGCCAAATTGGCCTCTAAAAAGCTTGGCGTGCTCAGCAGAGCGGGACAGTATTTCATGCCAGCTCAACGCCTGCAACTTTACAAGGCGCAGGTTCGGCCTCACATGGAATACTGTTCCCATCTCTGGGCTGGGGCTCCCCAGTGCCAGCTCCTTCCACTCGACCGCATCCAGCGCAGAGCGGCTCGAATCGTCGACGACCGAGTCCTTTCCGATCGGCTCGACTCATTGGCACTGCAAAGAGATGTTGCATTTCTTTGCATTTTCTTTCGAATTTACCATGGGGAGTGCTCTGAGAAATTGTTCGAATTAATCCCAGCCGCCAAATTTCACGAACGCACATCGCGGCAGAACTCCCGATACCATCCACAACATCTGGATGATTGGCGGTCCACCACTGTGCGATTTAGAAGATGTTTTCTTCCTCGTACAACTTCCTTGTGGAATAGTTTACTATCAGCGATTTTTCCGGACCGATACGACTTAGGGACCTTCAAGAAAAGAGCCTACTCCTTTTTAAAAGTCCGGCAACGCATCTGCAATTCCCCTGGTGTTGCGGTTGTTCATGGGCGGCGGTAGTCACTTACCATCAGGTGAGCCGCATGTTCGTTTGCCCCCTCTCCTATAAAAAAAAAAAAAAACTATCGACACCTTGTTAATCAGGACCGGCATGTACTCGAATATTCTAGATGTTTCTACAGTAGAAAATTTTGGAACTATCTGAAGCCCTATATAAGGCCGGTATAGACCGCAACCGGGCTCAGAGTTGAGTCGGCGATACAAGCGAATACTTCAAAGCGATACAACTGCAAACTAAAGTGATCAGTAGTACAATTGTGTTTTGTTATTAGTGTGGTTTTAATTTTTAATTAGTGTTCTGCAATTAAAGTGTCAATTTTGGTAATTCACTCGGCAGTTTTTAATTGTTTTGTACCAAAGCTTGTAAAACTAATAATAGATACAAATTAAAATTTTAATTAAATTAAAATCAATCTACCTTTATTCTATATACAATAATATTATATTCTATAAAATATCCAGAAACCTATTACTAGAATAATCTAACACTTCTATTTCAATAATATTGAACTTATTTTTTATCATACAATTTATATTATCTGGCGGGATAGTTTAAGAACTACACCATAAACTTGATCGCCATTTAAATCACACAAAGATTCACTAAGCTCACGGCCCTTTTCTGTAAAAAAATTTCAGATACACATGTTATTTATGTAAATTATATACACAGTGTTTCACAAACAACTGTTACCATTACAGCCTGTTAAAGTCCACTGCTGAACATAGGCCTCCTCCATAGATTGCATCATAGGGAGGATATTTACCATAGTTGACACGCTTGGCAAGCAAGTTGACAACAATTTTTTTTATTTTTAGTCATTATTAGGAATATGCTGCTGCCCATCTTCTTGTTTCCCTCTGTTGTCTCTTACCTCCCATTGGATGATATGGGGTAATGGATGTTCTTACACCACCACTACACTGTTTGGTTTCCCAACCAAATATGATGTTATTCTGCATTAAAGATAGTAATTAACAATTTCAATGGTGTTAATGGGATTCAAACTTTGGTTACTTGTATACAATGAAATGTAAGGCAACTGCTTTGCTGCTGACTGAAACATTTTTTTTTTATTATTAATAAATCACCTAATATACACACCATATCTAGCCCAAATACGGGGCTGAATCCCACTGCATTCACGAATCAAAATTGGAAAATTAGGATTTTCCTTTTTGATGTTTACATAGCTCTTCTGTATAAAGTCCCTGAAGCATAAAAATAATATATACGATTTAAAATAAGTCATCGAAAAATCATATTATAAACAATATTCACCGACATATTATGTGCAATTCACAAATAATAACAAACTCACGCTCGTTTGTTCCTTAAGAGGGACTTTTCGGTTATTTTCTTAGGCTCTTTGGATAAATAAAGAATTTAGAAAATTATCACAAAATTTTAACTTTTGCTGAGGGAATTAGGAACATATTTTACGAAACAACGCACTAACTGCATTAATAGTCTGTCTACATTTTTATTCGAAAAATTAGAAAAATAGAAGGCAGTAAATATTACAGGTTAGAATAACATTTATGTAATCATATATCTACCTTACTCCTGCCGACTGCTTTCCTGTCTGGCACAAATGAATCCTTAATTCTTTTAGAGCTCCGCCTAAACGTACAACCGACATTTCTGAAACTTTTATTTATTCAGGATTAAATTATTTATAAAATCTAAACAAAAAGAAATTTATATTCCAATTTTTTCAAATTCTAAACTTGACATTGACACCTTGACAGCTTGACAACACAGACTAATGAGGGCTAATAATTTTCTGCTCACCAGATGTCACTAGTTGACACTGAAGTAAAGTTTTTTGTCACACAATGTAATTTAATTGAGATATTGTTTTTTTTTTAATAAGAGAGATCTGTTTTGTGGCGGCGCTGTCATCGCGCCACAAGCGAAACACATCGAAGCCTAAATCGCGCAAACAAAGTTCCGAAGTTAAAGCAGTATATATAGAATAGCTCCGAACTACCACTCGGAGCGTTGGCCGCTCCCCGGGCAGAACACCTTGCCCCGCGGGAGATCTCCCCTTTTCCTTCCACCCGCCACAGTGGTGACCCCGACGTGATATGAACACGCAACCAACAACCTTCGGAAACTACAACTTCAAATCATTCGTAACCGTCCTCAAGTACCCCATTCATTCGCTCCCGAACAGATATTGTCTGCAGTCTTCACATACTGCAAGCCATCTAGCTTTACAAAGGTTCATCGCAGCACTGAAATAATAATGCTTCCTGTTCTTTCAAGATACTCTCTGCACTACAGTGTTCGGCACGGCTCTAAGCCTTACTGCTCGCCTCTGCTTTACGGCACTCTCCTAGATTACTTGTCATCTTCTCGACTCACCGCAGACTACAAGGCAATCCCTGGCTCTTGCTCCGGCTCATCGTTCTCACCGGCATCAATTGCAAGTGCGTAGTAAGGCATGCATTACACAGCGCGGCGCTGTCGTCGGGCCACAAGTGAAACACATCGAAGCCTAAATCACGCTAACAAAATTCCGAAGTTAAAGCAGTATATATAGAATAGCTCCGAACTACCACTAGGAGCGTTGGCCGCTCCCCGGGCAGAACATCTTGCCCGGCGGGAGATCTCCCCTTTTCCTTCCACCCGCCACAGTTTCTAGAGTATTATATGTATTAATACACAAAACAATGCGTCAGTGGTTTGCTCTTTAATTTTTTGCACATATTTAACTTTTTTTTATTTTTTTACTTTTATGAATATCCGTGGTTTGGTTTATATACTTTTAATGTTATAATGTTATTAATATAAAATATAGCTAACAGTACAAAAATAGAATAACTTTAACATTTTCCGAACAAATTAACGCCGGGTAGAAACCGTTCGAGCTTGCACACAAGATAGTTTGTACACGGCCCGGTTTCATGGAGGTGCAGCCTTCATACGCTATTTTTATTCTATGAATTGTGGGCGTACAAAAGGTTGAGTGTTAAAAAGAGAAAATGTATTATTGCGTGGCACATGTATAAAAAGCTAAAAAAAAGACGATAAAAAAATACAATGACGATATTGGATACATCCCGTGTTTTTTTTTTTTTTTATAGGAGAGGGGGCAAACGAGCATGCGGCTCACCTGATGGTAAGTGACTACCGCCGCCCATGAACAACCGCAACACCAGGGGAATTGCAGATGCGTTGCCGGCCTTTTAAAAAGGAGTAGGCTCTTTTCTTGAAGGTCCCTAAGTCGTATCGGTCCGGAAAAATCGCTGGTGGTAAACTATTCCACAAGGAAGTTGTGCGAGGAAGAAAACATCTTCTAAATCGCACAGTGGTGGACCGCCAATCATCCAGATGGTGTGGATGGTATCGGGAGTTCTGCCGCGATGTGCGTTCGTGAAATTTGGCGGCTGGGATTAATCCGAACAATTTCTCAGAGCACTCCCCATGGTAAATGCGAAAGAAAATGCTAAGAGATGCAACATCTCTTCGCAGTGCCAATGAGTCGAGCCGATCGGAAAGGACTCGGTCGTCGACGATTCGAGCCGCTCTGCGCTGGATGCGGTCGAGTGGAAGGAGCTGGCACTGGGGAGCCCCAGCCCAGAGATGGGAACAGTATTCCATGTGAGGCTGAACCTGCGCCTTGTAAAGTTGCAGGCGTTGAGCTGGCATGAAATACTGTCCCGCTCTGCTGAGCACGCCAAGCTTTTTAGAGGCCAATTTGGCCTTCTCTTCCAAGTGACCACGAAACTGCACGTCACTCGATATGTCGACGCCGAGGATTCCGATACTGGCTGAGGCAACAAGGGGAGTACCTTGAAACTGAGGAGATACGACAAAGGGGTTCTTTTTAGCGGTAAACGCGCAAACTTGTGTCTTCTGAGGATTAAACTGGACTAGATTTAGTCGCCCCCAATCCGAGACTTTGTCCAGCAAAGACTCGACTTCAGACACAAGTTTGTTCCGGTACTCGGTGACGTTTTCCCGAGAAATATTGGCACGGCCGGTGTATAGAGCATCACCAGTGCTGTCATCTGCATAGCAATGAATGCTACCAGCTTGCAACATATCATTGATATGCAGAAGAAACAGCGTTGGTGATAGCACGCAGCCTTGTGGAACACCAGTGTTAACAGAAAGAAAAAATTATGGTGCATCTCATACGCTAATTCAGAAGCAACTAATGAAATATGACGAGAAATTTGTATATAAGTATTTTCGAATGAAAATAGAAACATTTAACAAAATTTTATACGTTTTGGAACCCAAACTAAAACATGAAGATACAACTATCCTACAACACTGGCCTCTCTTCTACCAAATTAATTAATAATTCGTGGTTGATCTCCATAATTAGTGCGTTCCGCGTAGGTAGTCGGCATGCGCTGGGCGTAGATCCGGTCTCGTGTACATGCACTCCCATACTCCACTAGAACACTGCGCACCGGGCGCAGACGCGACGAGCACCGTGCCCGGTTTAGTGATGAGCCGCCGCTAGCGCCGGCGTCGTGTGTTTGGCTTCATAGTGTCCCATACAATACTGATGACCGGACGCAGACCCGGCTTGCCACCGGGCTTAGCTCCGGCGAAAAATATTCTCGTAGGCATGAGCCCTAACAGCACAGACTACTTAATGGATACTACGTATCCTAACAGTGACGACATGGTTTGATAGTAGGTACGCTCATGCGTAGCTTGCTACCACGGAAGTATGTTTGTACGAAGTGCATATATTTCCATGCTTGCTACATATATATTTATCTATGGTTCATGCGTATGCATTGGTATTATGGAGTGTAGAGTAGAAGGAGAACCATCTTATAAGGAGCGAAGGTTGAAAAAGTGTCCTACTATTTACTGTAAATAGAGGTTCCAAAACCTACCACAATAGCGCTGGCGTCTGAAAACCTACGATATGAAGATAGCTGTTATGAACGGAGTGAAGTCAGCTGAATTCAAATATTTCATGACTAGAGTAGTTAGTAAAACGCCAATATACAAAATCTCAACTATTTACGTAGTACAAAACCAAGCGGATTGATCGGTCCTTATTTATTTCTCCATCTTATTCTAAATACTTTTGGCGCTTCTTTTTTAATTTATCCTATGCTATTGCAGCGCCACCCTTATTGGACACGTTTTTAGGGACATTTTTCATATACAGAGATGGTCCTCCTTCTACTCTACACTCCATAATTGGTATTTGGTCATAGACATAGTATCTTATAGACTAAACATTCAGTGACGTCATTTGCGTGGGAAAGGAATGCACGTATATAGTTAGACATAAGAGTAAGGGAGAAGCAAAACAATATTCCTTGTCTTTTTCTAAGTATACGTTTTTGATTGTTTTCCCTCCTTTATTTGACATTAACGATGTCAAGCGTTTGTGATTATCATTAATATTATAAGCAAACAGGTAATTGATTTCAGTGTTTTTCGTGGGTTTTAGTTATTAAGTAAAGTGAAAAAGATGGTAAGTTGTAGCATTTTAGGATGCAATAGCATCAGTCAACGAAAAATTGATAATATTACCTTTCATCGGTAAGTTTGTTTTGTGCTTACATTTGCTATTTGTACTGATTAATATGAGTTGTTTTGAATATAAAGTGTAACATTTCATGTTTTTAATGAACTTTGTGGTGTATTTTGTCAAATATTTCGACTCCCAAATTGTAAATTCTTCATGATAATGCTCTTTAATTTGAGTGGTCATTGCAAAGCTTAAAGTCATGACAAACGAGTACTTTTTGACTTGGTAGGATTATGGAAACTTTAGGGATATCATCGAGTACAATAATGTTTTCCCATTGTTCAATAATTATTATTATTGTGATTAGTAGTTATGTAAATAAATATGAATCACATAATGTTATACATATGCATACACTTTTATGTTCAGCTTTAAAGGAAACTCTCCTTATAATAATATACAACTCTTCAATCAATTTGTATATTAATAGATGTCACAAATAATATGTAATTATCAACCTGAAAACATGTTTGGGTTCAAGTACATAAGTATTGGACAAAATATATTTAATTTCACAAAATATGTATTGCCTGAAATCACATGCACAAAACTTTATTGTATTCCATTAATTCTATCATACATTAGCAACAATTACATTACAATATTTATTAAAAAAAATAACTAAATATGTCATACTTATATAAATATAGATAAAATAATAAATAAATAAATAAGTCTTAATCTTAAGGTACACAATAACACAACAACATAAGATAATATTCTCGATTAATGATGTCGAAAAAATTTGATGATAATATATTTACCGTTACTATTAGTCATTATCAAAAGTCAAAAGTTATAGGTTTTATGATTGTTGTCTAGCTTGGCAGGAGGATTGGCAACTGCAGTTATTTTGCAGACAAACTATGTGGGGGGTCTATGTTCAGCTGTGGAGGACATTTGTTAGGCTGTAAATATATTAATTAACAATATCTAAAGCTTAATATGTACATTTTTTAAATGTTTGGTATGCTGCTATTTAATTAAATCAATTGATATTGTATTAATTGTTATAGGTATTGTATTTATGCACAGATACTACCTTGATAGAAAAGTGTACTATATATTTAATATATTAATTTCTTATAAATATTTTTTTTCAGCTTTCCTAAAGAATCAGCTAT